TGGGGTTCTGCCGAGCATCTGTTAAGGAAAGGCACAAACCGAGTTGGCCACCGCTTTGTCAAGCAAGACTGTGCTTCCAACCGGCCCAAGAGCTTTAACAACCCGCTGGGACTTTTAAGACTGAGTTAGCACCACACGGCAACCGATTTATGGGTAACTGGCTTTGGTGGGATGTCCAAACCCAGACTCCTCATTGTGGGCAACCAGCTACCTCGACAACCCCTGGGTTGTTCTAGAGGTTGTTTGACCCACGGAGAGTGGCTGTGTTGCCTGAAGCTGGGAGAGCAATTTCAGTGTGGGTCACGGAGATTAGTTAGTGAGCTGTTGAGCAAGAGCTGCAAACACCCCTTGCCCTCTGCGAATGGCAGCCCCTCCGCCAATGCCCAAGCAGCCCTAGAAGCATATGCAAACATCCTTGTATTTTTTTTTTTTAAATGTTGGTCTTTTGCAGTTGCACAGGTATGCTCTTCCAGTTTTTGATATAAGTAGTTGTGCCTAGATCACGTTCTGGTCAGCTTTGCTGTCAAATGCCAACAGATTGATGAGGCAGGACCATCTATGGGCCAAACCGCAAACAGTCGACAGCTGTCAATTGCCAAGCTGTCATTTGGAAAGAACCTACGAAAGGGAGGGGAAAAGCACCAGGGTATTGCTGCCCAAATGCAGGCGCGAGGCTGTGAAGTGTTGACAAAATATGTGAGTAAATAAAAAGACATTTGTGTCCTTCCTGGGGTTGACCTCACCCTGCAACAACCCAACTGTCCCCTTTTGAAGATCTTTTTTTTAAATAACAAAGGGAAAGGCCTTGCAGTGGAGCCAGTGTGGTGTAGTGGCTAAGAGCCTGGGACTGGGACTCAGAGGATCTGGGTTCGAGTCCCTGCTCAGCCATGGAGCCAACAGGGTGACTTTGGGCCAGGCGCAGACTCTCAGCCCAGCCTACCTCACAGGGTGGTTGTTGTGGGGATAAGATGGAGGAGGAGAATGATGTAAGCTGCCTTGAGCCCTTTGTAGGAAAAAGGCAGGATATAAATCGATAAATAAATAAATAAAATTGCACTGGGGCGGAAGAGAGAAGGCAGGTTGTGCCACGGCTGGAGGAATGAAGGGGAATATGAGGCTCCACAGAACTGAAATAGAAAAAGATTTTGGAGAAATTGTGGACAATAGGCTAAACATCAGCCAACAATGTGATGCAGCTGCCAAAAGGGCAAATGCCATTTTGGGATGCATTAACAGAAGTATTACTTCCAAATCATGAGAAGTGGTAGTTCCTCTATACTCCTCACTAGTCAGACCTCACCTGGAATACTCTGTCCAGTTCTGAGCACCAAGATTTAAGAAAGATGCCGGAAAAGTAGAAAGGGTCCAGCGGGGGGCAACAAAAATGATCCAGGGTTTGGAAATGCTTCCCTATGAGGAGAAACTGAGAGAACTGGGCATGTTCAGCCTTGAGAAGAGGAGACTGAGGGGGGACATGGTATCCCTCCATAAGTCCCTCAAAGAGGAAGGTCAAGATCTCTTCTTGCTAATGCCATAGTGTAGGACACGGAATAATCAGTTCAAGTTGAGACAACCCAGATTCGGGCTGGACATCAGGAAAAGCTTCCTCACTGTCAGAGCAATACGACAGGGGATCCAGCTGCCTGGAGAGGTGGGGGGCTCCCCCACACTGGAGGCATTCAAGGAGATACTGGGCAGCCATCTGAATGGGATGGTGTAATGTGGTGTCCTGCAAGAGCAGGGGGTTGGACTAGATGGCCTTCATGGCCCCTTCCAGCTCTACTATTCTGTGATTCTAGGATCCTAAGGGAGAACAACCCACAGTGAAGCCAAAGGTCTGCTGAATCGGGGTGGGTTTGTGGGGTGGGTAGCTGTATGCAGTTGCACAAAGGACCACTCGCTTTGCCATGTTGTGCAACCTTGTTATTAAAGGTGCTCGAAGGCACTTCTCGCTCTTGTTTGTTAGCTTTTAAATGAACCTTGCTGTACTGGCGTTGCCATTTCCTTATTCAATCCACGGCAAGAGAGTTTGCTTATACTGTGCATTTAAAAAAGGTTCAAAGCCGAGCCAAAGAAGAATGTTTTTATCAGCCGAGGTCCTTTCGGTGGTGGGAATAAAGTTAGGTAAATCGAAATCTGCCTCATGCAAGCTTCCTACCAGCATACTATTCCCTGCTTCAGCCATTCAGGGTGGGGCTCCGCAAACTTTTTGGGACCACGGCATACTGCAAATTTTGAGAAGTGTGTGGTTGCTCTCACAAAATGGCTTGTGCATGAATAAAATGATTGCCACGGGGAGCATGACTGCTCGCAAACCCCTCATCTCCCAGAAGGCAAACTGGTAAGACTAAACGAATAGTCACTGCATAGAAATGTTTTAATAAATAAATAATAAAAAATAAATAAATGAACCGAAGGACACACAGAGGTGGGGTGGGAACTCCAGAGCATAGCACTGCCCCCATGTAAAGATGGCGCTTCTCTTCCCCAGGTGCCAAAGCATCCATTTAAAAATGGAGGTCAAGAGCATTCAGTTCAGGGTGGGCAAGGAGCTTGGCCGGCACCGTGAGAGGGGTCCGTGGAGTGTGCCGGAGCCCAGAGTTCTGTACCGGAAGCCCTGGGTCCGTGGTCTTGGCAAACGCTTTCCAGCTCTTGCTATCGGATCTGCTCTCTAACTGGATACACCCGGACCGACCCTGGGTCCTTGTTCATGCGAAACAGGGGCTGCACCACAGCATGTGACCGAGCGACTATCCAACTATCCATCCCCGGCTGAATCAAAAGGCTGAAAAGAAACCCATCCTGCTGGCCTGCCTGATACTCGGCATGGGATCCTGGTGCATCCAAGAAAGGGAAACCCACACACGCACACACAAAGCGAGGGAATGCAAGAGGCCGGCTTTGGTCTTCTTTCTGATGCTGTGGGACAAGCCCCTCTTTGTTCCCAGTCCAGAGAACTGGGAGCACAAGGTGGGGTTTTTGTTTCGTCGCTCTGGCGTTCTCTTGCTGGGGAATGAGCCCAAGGAAAAGACAAGCCCAGAACAGGGTTGTGGGAAGCTCTTCAGCAGCCAGGGAAAACAACCCCTGCATATTAATCCGAGCAGCAGCAGCAGCAGCAAAAGTCTCCCATCTTTGGCATGGATCGCGTTGCCAGCGTTTGGCTCCAGCTGCTCCAAGAGGGATGGGCAGCTGAAGCAGCAGGTGGCCATGTCGAGAAACAGCTTTGCCTGCCTGTTGCTCTGCCGCTTGAAAGGACAGGAGACAGCATGGTGCAGTGGTTAGATCAGACTTTCCCAACCTGGTCCCTCCAGAGGGGTTATTCTCCAGTTCTCATCATACCCAGGAAGCATGGCCAAAGCGGGACTCCAGGCCCCATCATACCAGCCGGCATGGTCAAGGTTGGATTACAATGCCCATCATACCATTCCCAGTCACCATGGCCAAAGTTGGATTACATGCTGTAATTGTACCTAGCCAGCATGGCTAATGACTGTGCTGGCAGGAAAGATGGGAGTTGTAGTCCAACACATCTGCAGAATGCTACTTTGGGAGTACTGGGTTAGTGTGGCATACTGGGAGCAGGAAAGCCCCCTAGCCCAAAATCCCTCAGTGAGCTTCATGGCCGATGTGGACTTGAACCCAGATCCCCTGAGTCCCAGTCCAACGCTCTCAACTCCACATGAACCCCAGTATTCCTTTCCCAGTTGCTGGATCGTGGGGGTTTCTTAAAAAGCAAGCCAGCCTGCTTGCCAGTGTCACAGGTTATGGTCTTCTTCACGCGGGGGCTTCTTTGCATGGACAGAAAATGCGCCTGTAAGTTGTTTTCCTGAGATTGCTCTTCTGCGATTACTGCAGGTACAGTTTGCTTGTACGCTGGCTAGACCATCTTACAGTTTGCCTTATTTTAAACGACTCCCGTGTGTTTCTGTGGAAACCGTGACATCATTTCGGTGCTCCGAATGCCCAGGATATTCAGAAAAGATTTCTCCCCCTTCTCCGCCGACAGACGAAAAGCACCCACATGGGGAGGGGTTCTGGTGAGGGACCGGATGGTTGCTGAGCAACCGCTATGGCAGAATAATGTGCACCGTTGTTGTGAGATATTTGTCGCGCCCCGTTGGGGCGAAATGTGCAATTCCTGCCTCAGGTTGGACGGAGGGAGGGGGCTGCTAAAAGCAAGCCGGGTGCCTCTTTGTTGGCCTGGATGTGAAGAAAGGTGGGAAGGGAATTGTAGGATTAATAAATAAGCACCGAGTTTCATCCGTGCAAATTCGTTTTACGCTTGGGGACATAATTCATTGGAAGCTTTCAGTATTCATTTATTGTACAGGCCCCTGAAGGAGGCGAATGATCAATCGATCATTAGAGGGAAAACATGAGAAGTTAATAAAATATCTCCATCACAATTACACATGCAATGGCCGTTTGCAAAATTCAGGAGAGGCAAAAAGCAAACCAGATCCCCTGAGAAGTCTGGAACTATTCAGGTCAAAGACACATCTAAATCATAACTTCTTGTCCAGAAATTGAAAGACAGAGAGGAAAAGTACCTGTGTCTTTTTTTTTAAAAGAAAGATCTCTGTTTTATGTTCATTGGTCTGTAGTTTGGCAGGTCTTAAACCTGGAGGCTTTGTGGAATGCTGGGAATATTTACACCATTTTCACAGTTTAATTTCAGTCGTGGGAAGATCGCAATGGATGTCGTACATTATGGTGATCCTTGTACTTAATGCTCTGTGAGGCAACCCAAAAATATTTCAGTGAATCAGCCAATCCAGCAAAGGTAGCCAGAAGGTTGCTCAAGGGGCAAGAGCTGAATAATGCTGAGGCCGCCAGGAGAAAGGACCTGCCTTCACATCTGCCTCTTCCATCTCAGCCCCTTCTCAGTCCTTGTCAGGCTGGAACAGATGAGGCAGAACAAACCTGCCAGCCCAGGTAGATTTTGTCCCTTTCACAGGAAGCCGCGCACTGACTCTTTCTTCACCCATCTCTCGTTCCAGGTTTATGAACCACAGGGTTGCGCCCGACCGGAGGTACCAGCCAACGGAGTACGAACACGCTGCGAACTGTGCCACGCACGCTGTGAGTCTCATTCGCGTTTCCCTGGCGAATGGAATGGGTTGGATGTTCAGGTGGTGCCGTTCGTGGTTCCTGCAATATGGATTTTCATGAGGTCGGCTTTTTCCAGTCTGGTGCATAGCAGGGGAACATCAAACACTCCCAGCCACAGAATGCAAATGCGCTTTGAATCTGCATCTGTAGAGGCAAAGTTGGAAGAACTAGCTTGATCTAAATGTCACAGGCATCGTGTTGGAAAGTGCTGCATGAGGCCATGTTCAGAGAGAGAGAGAGAGAGAGAGAGAGAGAGAGAGAGAGAGAGAGAGAGAGAGAGAGAGAGTTTCAGGAGGCAACAGGGACTGGTCTGCCTTTTGCCCCTTTCGGGTTTTTCAAACCACTCAGGAGCCCCATCCAAACATCAGTTCCCAGGGAAACCCTTCGCTTTGCTATTAATACGCTGTGCCAGTCCAGGTATTGCCACGGGGCAACCCATGCTGAATCTGGGCAATCAGGAAGCAGAAGCAATTCCTTCTAAAGATCATGGAGGTGTTTCTGGACGGGGAGAGGCAGAAATGGCTCTTGGGGTCCCTTGAAGACGAATCCATCGATTCTAAAAGAAGCTACGTGTGGGTCCAGTTTTGGGTCGCTCTGGGAGCAGCTGGTTGGTTCACCATCTGAACAGAATGTGGGACCAGACGGGTTGATGCTGCTGGAACGCTTGTGCCTTCTCAGATGTGGACAGCATCCGGGAAAGCGTGTGCCGGAATAAATGGGGAACCTTGAAGGTGGCACAAGATTCCTTGAGATCATGCAGGTGTCTCAGTTGCGCGCACGTGGACGGCGATAGGCCTGTGAGGGGGCTGTGGTGCTCCTGTCTTGCTCGTGGACTTCCCACTGAGCTGGCTGGTTGGCCCCTGGAGTCCTGGACCAGGCCCCTGATCGGATCTAGCAGGGTCTTTGTGATGCTCTCAGCTGTGGATGGCCTGCTGAGGACAGCTGGTGGTGAGGAGCTATCAACAAGCGAACAAAGGGGAAAGGCGAGGTGGAAATACTGGTGATTTTCGCTGGTTTAGCAGGGCCCAGAATTCATTCTCCCCCATCCCTCTCTCCCTCCTCTAGTTCTGGATCATCCCAAGCATCTGGGGCAGTTCCATCCTCCACGTCCTTGCCGACAACCAGTGGGAAACCATATCTGCCTGGATCTACGGCTTTGGTCTGTCCGGACTATTCATCGTCTCCACAATCTTTCATACCATTTCTTGGAAGAAGAGGCATTTAAGGTAACTCATCTGTCAGCTTCAAGTGAAACAGCAGTTCCAGATCTCCACCATACACCAACAGTATGATATAGCCGGCACTTTTGCACAGGAAAACAGGAAACGGTCTTGGAGCAGGTCAAGCGACGGGTCCATCGAGGCCAACGGCTGGTCTGGCTGACCTTGTTAAGGGCCTGAATGAAGCACTTCAGAATTTAAGCGAAGGACAAGAGCCAGACGTTTCCCATCCCAGTTTTATATGGAACTAGCGTGTATGCTTGCTTGGAGGCCGAGGAATGAAATAGCAATGATGTTTGCCTTCACATGGATGGATGGATGAGCGCTCTCTTTCTCCTCTGTCTCCTTCTCTTTCAGAACCATAGAACATTGTCTGCACATGTTCGACCGGATGGTCATCTACTTCTTTATAGCAGCATCCTATGCCCCTTGGTGAGTTCACTCCTAGGAGGCTCAGAGGTGATGTTGTGAAAGTGCGGGCAGCGGTTAAGAGTGCAGGGCTGGGACTCAGGAGACCCGGGTTCTAGTCCCGCTCAGCCATGCAGCTCACTCACAAGCCCAACCTACCTCACAGGGTTGTTGTGGGGATTGAGAGGGGGAGGAGAATTATGGAAGCTGCCTCGAGTTCCTTGTGGAAGGACAAAGAGGCAGAATATAATATAATATAATAGATAGATAAATGCAACAATTAAATACCAGAGGTTGGGGACAAAGAGGGAACTGTGCAGAGAGGGTGTTCCTGGGAGCATCTGGCTGCAGGCAGATGGTGACTCGGGCAGAGCACTCTTCTGCCCTCCCAACAAGTGTTCCTCTTATGCTCCTTCATCAGCAGTCAGGGTGAGCTGCCTTCTCCAGCTGGCTGACTTTCTCCTCCAGGTTCGCATGACACCCCGTCAGCCACCAGGGCCGCTGGCCTCACGGCTCGGTGCAGCTTTGGAATCGCTCTGTCCCGCTTTTGTTTCCCGCTTGATTTCCAGGGCTCCTTTCCAGCTGCCGTTTCTCTCAATGGACTCAATGCTGGTCTCTGTTGTTCTCCCAGGCTGAACCTGCGGGAATTGGGCCCCTGGGCCTCCCACATGCGCTGGATCGTCTGGATCATGGCCTCCGTCGGCACGCTCTATGTTTTCTTTTTCCATGAACGGTGAGTTGGGGGGGGGCACCGCGGGAGCAAGAACTCCCCTGCAGTGCTGTGCAGGGCTGTTTCCCAGCTGCACCCGTCAGATGGGCAGAGTTAAGCTGAGGGGTGGCCGGGCTCCTGCCAGGACCCACACCCAGCAAGGCCCTGCTGGCAAATCCCTCTAGGCCTGCTTCGGTTTGCCCCCGTTGCGGCCCGCTTGCTCCCCAGCCTCTTGCTCTCACCCAGGCAATGGTGGTGGCAGCGAGCAGCAGCTGGTGCCTCTACTGACTTGCCCTGCTTTTCATCTATTCTTGGTGTCCAGGTTGGAAATAGAAACATCGAAACAGAGCGAGTCGGAAGGGGCCTCCCAGGCCATCTAGTCTGACCCCCATCTCCAACCGGCTCCACTCATGATATGCCTACCATGTTCATGCCCGAAGCTTAGGCGAATGGGGCGGCATATAAGTCCCAGCCTATCCCTGACCACCCTGACCGATGGGGCTTCAAGTACCTTCCGTGGAAGTCCAATCCATACCATACCCTAGGGGTCCTAAACATCAGGAAGTACCTTCTGGCATCCACCTTGAATCCTGGTTCCCCGAGCTTTGCTCCAGTGGAACATGTCCTGCCCTCCACCACAGGGGAAAGTTAGAAGGGGCCTAGAGGCCATTGGGTCCAAGCCCCTGCTCCATGCAGGTCTCAGGTCTCCCATCCAGACTCTAACCAGGCCTGACTCTGCTTAGCTTCCAAGATGAGGCTGGATCAGGCGCCTCAGGCTACATGGAAGCTGAAATGATGTTGTTTATGTAGCCAAACGGTGATGCTCACAGTCAAGTGGGAAGGAGCAGAGGGACTGAGGGACCCTCATGTTTTAAATGAGGCATAAAAATGTTTCAATAAATAAATGATAATAAAATAAATAAAAATGTTGCAGAAGTGCAATGTCTTAGGGAAATATCTTGGAGGGACGAGCGTGCTCCAGATTGGAGAAGGACCGAGCACGCTGAATGACAGGCGGCAGGGGGAGGGAATGGAGCGGCTGGAGCTCTCAACCGCTTTGGGTCCATTTTGCAATTGCACTGTCCCATTCATGGAATTTAGCATGGGCCCAGCTGGAACCCTCCTGTGTTTTTCCACTCCTCCTGCCTTTTCTTACTGCTGAAAATCCAGTCGGAAAAGCTGCACCATGTCTTCTGATTGGTCGTGAGATTGTGAGCCACGCGGAGACCCAAGTATGGGCCACTGCAGCGGCATACAAATCCCATCGATGAAAAAAGAGTGCTCACGGCCACCGGCTTGAAGCGCTCTTGGTCTCAGAAACCATTTAGCTGTTCAAAATTATTTCTGGCTGGCGCAAAGGTGGTGCACGACTCCCCCTTGTGGAGTGAAACTTTTCTCAGTTGCACATCTTGCTTTGATTGCCAGGAAAAGCTAAGAAACAGGTTCTTTTCAAGGAACTTGCACCTTATGGCATCTGAGATAAATAAGCACATTGCAAGACTGCTCTTTATTCATCGAGCAGATATCCTGTGGAAAGAATAATGCGCCTCTCGCATCTCTGTAACAATCCTGTTTGTGGTGGCTTTGCCTTCCATTCCATCGACAGATTGTTTGTATGAGTTTAAAGCTGCTTCAGATATATTTATTCCTTGGTCAGAGAACCCTGGGAGCCGTGCTAACAAATGCTAACAAAGAAGCCTTCCTCCGTAGGGCTGCAAGTATTGTTTGCAATCCAACGGGACTACTCCCACAGGTCACACCCCACAGTTCGCATCCACGTGTGGCACCTGTTGCTTGTGGAATAAGGATTTTGAAACCAGCAACCAAGAACAGCAGGCAAGAATGCTAATTTCTGAAAGGGGTGAGGTCGGCAGAGCTCCAGCGAGCCGTCCCAGCCAAGAAACGAGGATTTCCACTCCTCCCAGGGCTTCCCCAAAAAGTGCAGCGTCTCTGCCCCGTTTCTGCAGCAGAGTCGGCAGGGCGTGCTGCTCAGGCAACGAAATCTGTGAGCACAAAAGAATTGGCAGTAGTGTAAACAAAGGCTGAACATCCCCTGAACACTCAATTAATTTTCCCCAGCAGCAAACAGTAGCCACAGGTATGCATCCACTCCAGGGCCCTCCATTTCTGGGGGAGGAAGCCATGACACTGAAATTGCGTTCAGAACGATTTCAATGGGCAGGTTAGATTCAGGAGTGGGGCACGTACTTTAAATGTGCAAGAGTGAATTTTGGCAGACGTGTCTTTGAGCAAAACACAAGGCTGCTCCCATTTGGACTATTTCAATGTGACTCTAAAAGGGGAAGAAATATAACATCTTTAAGACAGTCTTTCCTTCTAACAGTGCATCATGGTTTCTGCTTCATTAAATTGCTGTCCGGGGCATGCCGGCAGTTTCTGGACTTCTTTTTCTGTCGAAGCCGTGCCTACATCACATTTTGAACGGAGAGTCTTGTGGTTCCATTTACGTGTTAGCAAAACGTCTGACATTATGTTGAATCTGGCATACCTCCATCGGCTTAGTCATATCCTTGATGGCTTCTGCATCCTATCAGTACGTGCCAGGACGATGCAAATTTCTCCCTTTATCTGTGTTCCTTCTCTGATCTTTTCCCCTGTTCAGATGTCCATTTTGCACTGTTCCGTCAGCTCCATTCCTCCTCTTCAGTCTGTGTGGCCACATTGTGTGAATGTGTGATTGGGAAGAGTCCATTAGCTTTTTCCTGAGCCTAGAGCAGTTTGCACCTGCCCTGCTGGCTGAGGATGGTGGGAGTTGGAGTCCAGGAGGTGCAAAGGCACCAAATTGGGGAAAGGCGAGTTAGAAGTTAGAAACAGGGGCAGCAAGAGGAATCCTCTTATCTTTCCACTGAAACAACATCTGAAAAAAACAAATTTTTGTCTGTCTGCTCATCTTCCACAATCTTTTTCTAGCTGTGCATTCTCAGAAGAAGAGTACAGCAACTGTTTGTGTGTGTGATTTTGCACATTTTGTGTCAATTTGTTTTTACAAGAGTGTCAGGCATTCCTTGGTCTCTTCCCAACAGCCCTGCCAGGTTGGTGAGAGTGAGAAAGAGAGAGAATATGTGTATGCGAGATAGAGGAATACCCTGGGCTGCTTGCTGACCTTGACTGCCAAGGTCAGGAATTAGAACCTGATTTCATGCATGCAAATCGCCCTGGCCTTCTCGTCCCTGCACCTGGCCGCCTCTCAAAGTATACCGGCTTGCCTTTCTTGCAGGTACAAGCTGGTGGAACTGGTGTGCTATGTCATTATGGGATTCTTCCCTGCGGTGGTCATTCTCTCCATGGTGAGTCACCCACTCCAAAAGCCTTCAAAGGAGACTGGGGGGATGCTGTGCTGGAGTTGTGCCTTAAAGAAGCAGAAAGGGTCCACCTGTGGCCCGGGAAACGACCGGGGAGCTACTGTGGCATTGCTGAGACCAAGCAAGTGCGTGGACCTAAGCAGCCCCCTGGACGGAAAGAACCGGTTGGAGTTGCCTAGCCTATGGGTGCTTGGCCTTATGCTGAACCACTGAACTCAGCAGGTAGACGCCGTTTCCCACAGAGGTCCCCTCAGCTGTGAGAGCAGCTTGGCCCACTCAGGCTGGCCAAGGGGTCCTTCTGGGCAGGAAGGAGCAAGAGGACCTCCTGTTCCACCTGAGCCCAACTCTGCCCTTGCCTTCCTGAGATTCACTTGTGTCTCCTGGTTTGCCTTTTGCTCTTGACTCGTTCCTTGGTCGCAGCGTTTGGCTGCTGGCATGGTCCCAGATCCCAGCCCAGTCAGGGGATGAGCTCCTGCAACAGTGGACTAGAGACAAGGGTCGTGAGGTTTCATCCTTCTCTAGGACCCCCTGTGTCTGGAGGAGGCTGAGTTGCTGTCCTCAGATTGCATGGGGGGGTTGCCACCGCACAGAAGTCATTCCATGCTGTCACAGCCCAAATCTGCCAAGGGAGGAATTCTCAGTCAATGAAAAGATGGGGCTAAGCACCAACGTGAACCAGAGCTGTTCTCAAGGCTCAGTCACAATCCGGGGCTTGTTGGAGCAGCAGACAAACAAGCCCGTCTTGCTCCCAGCCCCAGCATCGCTTGGAGCTCTCCGTGGTGCTGACCCGTCCCAGTTTCTGTCTCGCTGGGGAACTTGCTTGGCTGGAAGCCATTGACGCTGACTAGCCCAGCCCTTGCAGTGCCCTGGACCTCATAATGCCCAAAGTTCTCGCTGTGATGGGTTGTGCTGGCTGAAACAGGGTATCTGGTTCCGTGACTCTCCTCACTCATCTCATACTGCCTGCCCACGAGGCAGCCCTGAGAGGCCAGGACGGTGTATCAGCTGCAACCCACATCTCATGGGGTTGGAAACCCTACTTTTGCCCTGTAACACAGTGCCGTTGAACCCCAGGCCTGGGGTTTCAGTCCAGGGCCATGCAAGGGACCTCACCTCCCCCGCCCTCCCCCAAGGCACCAGTTGCTCAAAGGTTTGTTGTACTTTTCACTTTCTACCCCCGCATGATCCAAGACTGGAACAACTTTCCTAGGACTTAATGATAGGCAGCAAGTTCTTTATGTTAAAATGGGCTGGTGTTTTGGTGACATCTTTTGCCTTTGGCCCCATCTGCTGCTGGGCAGTGGCCCCCAAGAGTTTCTCTGGAAGGGGGTTCAAGTGACAGAGGACTGGCACCTCTGCTATAGCACCTAATTTTGGCTTACGATGCAGAGATGCTTGTGCTGCATCCATTGACTAAGTCTCTGACATGCCTGTTTCTTGCAGTCCAACACCGATGGCATCTCAGAGCTGGTGGCTGGTGGCTTCTTCTACTGCCTGGGCACCGTCTTCTTCAAGAGCGACGGACGCATCCCCTTTGCTCATGCTGTCTGGCACCTCTTTGTGGCGCTTGGAGCTGGCACTCACTATTACGCTATCTGGAGGTACCTCTACCGGCCAGACACTGTTGAGGCTGAGAACTCCAGGTAGACCTACGCCTGCAGGATTGGGAGATGTGGACCTCTCTTCTGGTGGGCTCTCTCCTTTTCATCCATGCTTGCGAGGTGTCCCTGCTTGGTGTCATCCTTCTCCCGGGAGCTGGTTGTCTTTAGTACTGGTTCCTTGGCCATTTTTCCCAGGCCCAAACCCCCGAAGGTTTGCTTTGCTTTTTGTTTGATATGCAATGGGACCTTAACAGTGTTTCTATCTTAGGGAATGCTTTTTTTAATGCAACGGACAATTCATGGGTGTGACTGGAAGGTGGAAAGAATGATCTGTTTCTTCTGGTGAAACTTGGAAGTGCTGGTACGGTTTGTTCTGAAGACCCTGAGTTCATTGATGTGAACCAAGAAGCAAGAAAGCAGTACAAGAATCAGTGAAAGATGGACAGGGTAATAGTAGTGAACGGAGAGGCCTTCAGCATGACTGTAAGTGTTTCATTCTCTCCACCACTACCAGCCCTGCTCAGAACTTTTCTCAGTATCTTTGCTTCTCTGATCTGCTTGAAGAAACCTGCTCCTCGGGCTGCCATTGGCTGAGCTGCTGTGATGTCACAGCCTGGACAATCAAGGAACAGACCAGCAACTTTCTCCTCCCCTCTTGGACTGGGGGTCTGCAGGAACAAGAACCTCAATTGTTTTCCAGAAGTCCAGAGGACACTTTGGAAGTGCAGTTGAGCTGCGCCCAAGTCTTCTAAGGACTAGATAGTTTCCTCTTGGCTTTTATAACGACAGCAAAGGAGAACAGGATAAGGTGTGAAGGTCAAAACATCTGTATTCTATCCATTGTGGGACAGTCACATAATCATCTGTTCATTTTCACAGAGCCTTAAAACTGAAAGCCGATGAGATGGTGCAGCTTTTTCTCAACTGCACTGCTTTGGACCACAGGGGAGGGCCGAGGGGACAGAATAGCTAAAAAAAAAAAAAAATCTGAATGGCATTAAAATGGCAAATGCTGCTCTATGTAAGGATGGGTAGAGTGATGCACCCTGGACCAAAAGGAAAACAAACAAGCCCTGTACAGATGCATGGATGGGATCTGAGTGGACAGTAACTGACCAAGAAACAGTCTTTGGGTCACAATGGATGCCAACCCAGGAGGCAGCTAATGTGAAGAAGGCAAATTCCATGCTGGGGATCATGGGAAAAGGACTGCGACAGTGAAGTTGCCAGTATCATAATGCCTTTATCCAAACCAACAGTGCAACTGTTCTTTGAATGCTGCCCCTTTTTAACTGCAGAAGTTGGGGGAGGATTGCCCTCTGGTTGCTCCAGCTCATTCTCACTGCCCCGCTTCCTGTTTTAACTGGGATAGCACTGGAGTTTAGCCCCGTGGCAGACCTCAGTGTTCTTCAGTTTCAGACATTTTCAAATGCACTTTCTCAAATATGAAGGGTACCATTCAAAAAGCCCTCCGCAGCCTTAAATCTTAATTCCCCTGTTATTCAACAGAAGGAAATAATTCTCAACATGGAACTGACCTTTTGGACCATCCTTCCCAAACACAAACATCTCCTACATAATTGGGATATGTGGGGAGAGGGTGGGATAGAGACTGGCTTTCAAAGCAAAGCAAAGCACTAGTTAGCACCAGATGAATGAGGCCCATGGAGGCGCCCCCTGACATGATTTCCAGGTATTGCACTGGGAAGCATCAGAACAGGCCTTGCTTCCTTTTCCCAAAATGCCCCTTTCCAGCGTTTGTGCTGTTTTCTCTCCCTTCTTCAAAGGCTGAAAAGCCTCTCCCTTAGTTACTGGCGGCAAGAGCTTTAAGCGAAAACATGCTGGTTTTCTAAAAATATTTTGGCCTTGCCCCTTTTGTCTTGGCTCCACCCACCACAGAAATGCCCCCCACCCCACCCCCAGACTGCTCCAAAACAGAATTTGTTCCTTGGGTCAAAATCGGTTCCCCATCTCTGCTTTAAGGGAACCATATTGGTTCCCTGTTCACTGCACCACTTCGAGGACAGGTCAAGGGAGGAAATGACAGGTCTTTCCTGTCAGATAATAGGATCCCTGATTGGCGTTCCTCTTTCTGAGCACACACATCAAGTGAACACAGAGGTCTAACCACAAAGACTTAGCTGCCAAGTGCTTGACACCGAGGAGATTCTGGTTGTCTGAAACAATGCTTGCTTTCTGAGCAATAGTAGGATATACACCCTAAAAGCATGCTTCTTCAGAAGCGAGCCCCACTGGGCTTCAGCAGGGTCTCAGGTGCAGATCTGGACATGTTTAGACAGAATGGAAGACCTACAACTCCCAGCATGCCCTGGCCAGGAATCCCCCAGAACCAACAGCTTGGAGGACCCCAACATTGGAGACCACCTGTGTCAGCTCAGGTAGAGGGACTGATAGGTTGCAAAGTACACCAGCAGAATCCCAATCTGTCTGGCTGGCCAAACCCAAGCTGCAAACACTCCAGACTAGCAATTGAGCAGACAGAGCACCTGGAGAGAGAGAGAGAGAATTCTTACAGACTGTGGTGACTCGCCCTATCTCTGACCTTCCAGTCTCCCCGATGCTGAACGAAGCACCCCAGGGAACACAACTGGGAGAGGCCAATTTCCCCCTGTTCCCCCACCCAGGTCTCAGTCATACATGCCGGGTGAGGGAGGTCTTCTGCACAGATCAGCACCAGAGGTCTGTCTGGTTTGTGCTCTCCTCGCCTGGCCAGCCCTTCTCTCAGCGCCATATCTCCATCCATCAGAATGAGCCCCCCACGGTCTCCCAATCCCAATGTGTATTGTCAGGGCAAATCTAGGGGCACATGAGGGAAAACTAAAAAGGCAACCTCGTAGGATGGTGCTATTAAAGTGTCGCAAGCATCTGTGTTCACTAAAACGATGGTACCTCGAGAAACCCCGTGTGAACAAGAAGAGAGGCACTGAAACTTGCTACGAGAGGTCCAGATAGGAGATGACTGGGGATTCCGGTGTCGTCACGCCTTATTACAGAAACTTGAATCTTTCCCAGGACTCTCTGGAGCACACGGAGAGAATTTCTCTCTCTTGCTGTTCAATACACTTCCTTACATTCCTTGCAGAGGGCCCCACAAAGACCGGTTACAGATGTTTTCTTTCTAATGGTACATTTCAGTCTTCATTTCTAGGCTCCGTCTCAACTGAAAGGACTTCGTACCCGGGTTTCTTTCCTGCCTATCTTTGTCCAGCAAAGGAGAAAGTATAAATCCTCTTTCACTTGACTAGGCTGGCCAATGCTGTGTCACCCCACCTCCTCCAAAAACATCTCACCATGCTAAGGGAAATTGTGAGTGTACCTGCTGTATTGTTATCCAAGGGCTAACTTTTGGCCAGCAGCTTCCAGGCGCCATCTCTCTTCCTTCTTGGAGTTCTTTATCTTTAAACTTCATCTGGGCCAGGCAAGGCCTTCAAATAGGGGATGCCATCAAACTGAGGCTGACCACCTTGACTCTTCCAAGAGCGGACTGTGCTCTATAAAGTCACCCACATGGGAAACCCTGAATAAAGTTCCATTCTAACGTTCTTGCTGTCAACAAGCTGGCCACTAAAACGATTTCGGTGCAATGGAGGCATCTCTGGACCAGCCCAAGGTACCTAGCCCTGTGCTAGAAGGCTGCGTCATGTCAGCACAGAAGTCTTTTGTGCTGCATCATCGCAGGAGGAAGCCTGTTGCTGGAAGCAAAATCTGTGACCCGCATGCAGAAAATCCCAGTTATAATCCTTCCAAAGGCAGTAGGGCTGGGGAAAACCCCATAGGGGGAGAAGCCTTTCTGCCAAGACTTGGAAATTCCAGCCTAGAGGAACTAACACTGGGGTGTGCTGACCAGTTTGATGGAGTATGTTCCCTTCCTCAACAGATGGAGGCTCTCTGCCGGGGGCTGCTTGGCGCTGGCCCCATCTTTACGCAAGGGGAGATGTTCCACCTTAGCAGAAGATCTGGAATTGCCATAAAGAGTCAGTAAATCAGCGAATACTACATAGTCAGCATCCCGATTTTCAGGCCTTCCTCTGAGCCAGTCAGTTCCTCTTCCTCTTTGTCTGATGCGTCTTCAGTTTGAAGTGCTTCCTGCCCAAGTCCCCATTTAAAGCTAACCTGAAGAACAGGTGCATATCCTTGGTTATCACCTGGACAGCAAACTGACTAGGTGGGCACAAAGGTCAGCTGATCTCAGGTATCTGTACGATGGAGAAATGTACTATCGTTCTATTTAAATTAGAATAATCCTTCCTAGAAATCAGCATGTTCAAATGTGCAAATATAAGCCCTCCCACCTTTTTTGGTGAGGTATTTCCTCTTTCGGGGTGATTCGTAAGTTAGCTTGACAGATGTGTGTCATATTGAAGGACCAAACTTTAAAGCCGGCTTTCTTAGTCAGACAAATTTCCCCTGCTCAGAAAGGCTGCGAAATCATATTTCAAGCAAACCAAGAATGTGGTGACTTTTAGCTGGCATGTCAAAACTGAGCAAAAGATTCTGATTTTTAATGCATCTTATTCATGCTATTTGCTCGTCTGTTTTTCGATCTGCTTTTAAAACGCTTCTGCCTATAATGAGACTGGTCAGAAATCCGAGGGTGAGGGAGTTTCTCAGGGTTGCACTGGGCCTTGCAGTCGTTGGTATTCTTCTGGCTGGTTCCTGAGACCACGACACCTGTTCCCCCAAATACTGTCGTTCTCACTGTAGTCCTCAGCCCCAGTGCATCCCATGCTGACGTCCCGATTGCTTTTCCAGTGCTTGTCCTCATGGAAAACGCCAATGGACACGATCCACAGCTGTCCAGTTTGCACGTTACTCTGCGCATGCCTGAGTGTGCTTGGGTCTAACCGTGCCAAGAGGGGGGAAGTCCTCATTGTGCAAACGGGGTTGAAGTGAGGCCGGCTTGACACATGCAACAAGCAGAAGTAACAGAATTTTCTGTCCTCCTTCATCCTGTGGGCTTCTTCCCTGGAATGGTGGAACACTAGGCATCACAGGGAAAGGGCTGGGCTTGAACCCTCTCCCCCG